CATGAGAAGCAACCACTTCTTAGCCCTGCCCCCTGCACATCACCCAAAGACCCACTTTTCAGACACACGCATGCAAAGTCTTGACGTGCACTCACTATGTAAAAATATAAAACTTGTGTGCTGCCAATTGATACCTTTCCAATGACGCTGTCCCACGCAGATGAAGTCTAGAATAAGATACTGTACACTGTACTAGACTCACAATCACATACACATTGAACAAATTTAGCCCACAATTTCCGATCCGATTCAAAGGTTCTGCTCTTCTTTGTTCTTCTCTGCTCTCAGATCACTGCTCTTAGAGAACTGTGTCAAATGATAATTTTAGAAATTGAGTCTAGCTGGGGTAAAGGTGGAAAGGGGGAAACGGCAAAGAAAGGGGAAAGGGAAAAGGGGCACGGTAGGAGGAGGGTGTATTATTTTAGGCCCAGACCCTGACAGCTGAACGGGGCGCTTCACTGTCCTCGTTAAAATTCCCTCTCTAACATTACTGGGCGGAACGAAGGATCGCCGGTCCAGGGTCCTGGCCAAGTAAGGGAACTCCGTGAAATAGGTGACCAAGAGAACACAAAACAGAAACATGGGTTGTAATGTAAAACGCAATAGAAATAATTATGCTAACAATTGATGTACAAGCAGCAATAAGGGACAGGTTCAATGATGAATGTAACTGATGAAATTATATTAAATAATATGGATTAGTAATGCAGACGTGTCCTTCATTGTAAGTAACAGAGAGGCCAATTGGCAATTAGAAGCCGTCTTTTTAGCTCTCTGGACAAAAACTGAATTCGCCTGGAGGCTGACGTCACTGCCGCGCGGGCGCTATTCGTCTCGCGCCCCGAGGCCTCGCGCAGATAAGTTTCAGATTGTGATGGGCGATCATACGAGCCGGCGTGATAGACAAAAGATGAAGGAACAAGTCCTTGTAGTGCGACAACACACCAAAGAATCACTATTGTTTCTCAGAGCGCCTGCAAATCGGCCGAGTGTTGTTGTTTTTTTAACGTTGATTAGATATTAATGTGGATTTACTTAAAACTAAATTACAATTATCGTCAGAAATCTATCTTTTCTACTGTACCGTCGACAAAATCTGACCGGCGCCGCCGGTCTTGCCCAGTGAATGAACCGCGCCTGCTCCTTACTCTTTATAGCGCTGCTGTTATAGTTATACTTAGATTAAAAATACGTTGAAGAACCAGCAGGCAACTACATCTGAGATTTAGCAGGGGAACGGAAAAAGAAGAAAAAAACCCCACAGCATATATTTGACAAGTCAAGAAGTGATGGCTTTTGTGTGCGAAAGGTAAGAAGGAGAGTGCTTTAACTTTAAATTTTCTTTTGTGAAACTGAACAGTTCCGACTTGTTATTTAAAATTGGAACAAGCGAGGCTAAAGGGGCAGGTTTACCTACTTATTTATCTTTCTGTCCACACATCCTTATATTTTATATCTATCTATCTATCTATCTATCTATCTATCTATCTATCTATCTATCTATCTATCTGTTTGTTATCACATAACCATATAAATGGATGATCAATTGTTATTACACACACAAGTACATATAAACATAAATAATATATCCATGCACATATTTGTGTGTGTGTGTGTGTGTGTGTGTGTGTGTGTGTGTGTGTGTGTGTGTGTGTGTGTGTGAGTGTATTTAATTTTTAGATGTATATAAGGTTGTGTCTAAATGTGTTGTGGGTGTGGGTGTGTGTGTGCGTGTGTGTGTATGTGTGTGTGCGTGCGTGCGTGTGCGTGAGTGCGTGTGTGTGAGATAGATAGGTAGATAGATAGATAGATAGATAGATAGATAGATAGATAGATAGATAGATAGATAGGTAGATAGATAGACCGATAGACAGATAGACAGATAGACAGCTAGACAGATGGAGAGAGGGGGTAGGGAGGGGGAATTGGGATAAATGAGAAAGAATGTCAGGGACGGGCGAAAAGAAAAAGACAAGAGAGAAAGGAGTGGTAATAGGCTACTGAGGACAGTTAAGTGAAATTTGGAAGGAACAGGAATTCGCTCATAGTCCGCGGCGCTAATAATGGCAAATGTCAGAGCAAAATGTCAATATCTCGGCGCGGTGCCTGGTGAATCTGGTAGCTATAACATCCAGTACGGGGAGGGGGGGATACTGACGCCAGTCGACCAACGATATAGTGGTAATGATGACTCAGTGGAGGGAAATAGTGTCGGAGAGGAACGGACGCGCTTACGGTTTAACTAGGGAAGTGTAATGCTCTGATGAGCACAAACCAGCCATTTCAAAAACGGTGCTTATTCCTGGAAAAAAAAAGTCAGATTCCACTCCGCTTTTTAGTGGGAGGGGGTGGGAGGGGGAGAGAGAGAGAGAGAGAGAGAGAGAGAGAGAGAGAGAGAGAGAGAGAGAGACCAGGTATGGAAACGCCATGAAAGAGCTAGAAATAATATTGTGTAAAAAGACCGGATCGCCTTTTAAACAGGAATGCGTTACATTCATAATTCAGAGAACAGTGGGAGGCTGCTCTTGTGGGTTACTGTTTGAGTCGCTCTAATCATAAGAGTGAAACTTAGGCCCCCTTTAGACGTGCAGTTCATTCATCGACAAACTGACAGTTTAATCAGCAAACGCTAGATCTGGGTCATCGCTGAGCTGAAAGTTTGTCGACGAGAGAAGTTCCGTTTAGACGTACATTTTTAAAATCCTTAAAGTGTCAGTCCTTGACGAAACATCAAACACGCCAACAAAAACATTAACTTGGTAATCAGGTATTAAATTGTGTTCCCCGCGTGATTTTGACTAATTTTGGGTCGCTGATCACGGAAATCTGATCTTTTTTTAAAATTTAGTGAACTGTACGTGTAAATGGGGCCTTAGAGAACCTATCTACGCTTGATAAACTATCCAAATGAAGCTCAGTGAGACTTATTTTCTGCTAACGATACATACATGCACACCTATGCGTTGTAAAAATGTGTTCCACGAAGACTTAATCTCATCAAGGATCGTCTTTGAAACAAAATCTGTTCTGTCTCGATAGTTTATATTCGTTTGAAAATCTTACGACTAACATATATAACCGCGTATGTTAAAAAAGAATGTCTCATTTTTTAAATTATTTTTTTTTTTTAGCCACATTTCTGGCATTGAGGATTCAGAATCATCGAAAGCCGTATCTATATTTATTGATTAAGTCCAGATATCAAGTGTCAAGTAATTCCAAGACAGTGGTGTCAGGTATTCAGGCTGATATCGAAAGCGGATTATTGCTGTTTTTCACTTTAGAAGTTTGGATAGTTCCAACGCCGACCCACGTGGTCCATGTGAGACCATCGTTAGCGCTGTTATTTCAATGGTCCCCTGAAAAAAAATCCGTGCGTTGAAATGTATTTTTAAAAAAGAATGTCTTCTTTTTAACAGCATTTGAGATCGTTTTGGTGAATTTCAAAGACGTAATTTATTGTTTACCAAGTTCCAAACTGAATCTCTACTATTTCAAAATAAATAATCAAGTAAAAAAAGAGCAAGTACAGTTTTGTGTTATTTTCAATGGGGGAAACTAATGGAGGTCGACGGGATTAATATGTAAGAGCTGACCAACTTAAGCAGAAAAGAAGTCCTTTCAATACATAATCGATTTTCCAATAGTTGGTTAAATGCAGAAGTTAAGAAAAACAATTTCATTTAAACTCAAAGCCGCGTGGGTGGAAGGCATCTTTTTTTAAGGACCAGCACGTGCGCAAGTACTCACTCACCTGGGCTCTGCAGGGTGTTCAAGCGTGAGTGGGAGTTGTGTATCACCCAAGAGTCTCCCAGTCCTTCAAGTTATTAGCCCGACCCTTAAGTCACTGCTGCAAATACAGCAGAGGAAGGCGAACGTCCTGATTTTGATGAGCTTATTTATTGCAACATTACGTCGGCCGCCATGGCGTAGGAGCGGAGGCGGCTGACATGCCAGTGTAGAGGCACTACCACTCTTCTGTCACAGGAGGAAACTTCGCGCGAGCACTTCCGAAATTCCCCCGGCGCTGCGGCCCTCCGATTGGTCGCTCCAACTTCGCAGCCACGTCGTTGGTTGGCAGACGCGGAATCGGAGATGACTTTGTATTTTCGGTCTCTCTTCAGTGAAGAGCGGGTGCTAATAGTAATAGCCTGCATTATGTCTAGCACGAATCGACCCACGATTTCGGAAGCAATACCGCTACTATAATATCATCCACGGCGTTCTTGACCGCTTTTGTTCTTCCTTCTCCACGGACGCAATGAGAAGTCGCTGGAAGACCGGTCCTTTGAGTCGAACGACTAGACTTATTTGAAAGCTGCTCAGTCAGAAACAGGCAGTGCTAGAAGGAACGGATGTCATTGTTGAGAGCAGAATAATATGCTCCCGATAAATGAGTTCTGGTCTCAAGCCAAAACTGCTCGGTTGTCTTATTTGTTTCAATTGCCTTTTGTCTCGACGCGTTCCCTTCTTTCCTAACAAGTAATAACCCATACCTTCGGCACAGGATATCTCACAATAACAATCGATTTGCATAAAAGGGTGATCGTCTTTGTTACTTCGAAATGGGGCAGCGTGAAGTTCATTACTGAAGAAAAAAAAGTGTAGACGATATACAATAATTTGAAATTATATCAACCTGCATTTTGCAATGGAATCCACGCACACAGCTAAATACGAGAATAAAGAAACACTTCCTAAAACAATCTAAGACAGGATTAACAAATTGTTGGACAATTATTATATATAAAAAAGAACAAGACGGAAGACGTTTTTCAAAATCTAAAGTAGACCAAATCATATAATTCATTCGAGGAGGGGGGGGGGGTGGAGTAAGGGGAAAAAGCGAAAAAAATATATGTATATGTGTATGTGTGTGTGGGCGTGAGCGTGTGGGCGCCGATCTGTCTGTGTAAATATGTGTGTGTGGGTGTGTGTATGTGTGTGACAGAGACAGGCAGACAGACAGACAGACAGACAGACAGACAGACAGACAGACAGACAGACAGACAGACAGACAGACAGACAGACAGATTCGTCCACATTCAGTGTGACTGTTGCGTGTAATAACAACACTGTTGAAGGCTGAACATTGACTCTGAACTAGCTGCGACCTGCTTTATTTACGACACCCAGTCTGCGTACATGTAATATCTCAGCAAAGGCGATAAACAGACATAATACGTACACAACGTTTTTCAACTTTTGGCAAAAATTCCCAAACTCGGAGATGAATATCGTATTTTCTTGGGGCAAAATCAAACATGTAGGCTGCTCTTGACATTTTGAGGCAGTTTACACAGTCTGGTGAAAATGGGTATGTCCAAAACGCAGTTAGCTCTAGCTGGAATATGACCTTGACATAACATTATCAATACCATGTGGCTATTTGTTATAGTAGAGGTTTTACGGCGCTCGCAACTGCATAAGGTCATATGAGCTACAACAGAGAAGTCCTAACAGGGAATCAGGCTCACTCTGCTCACCTCTCCAGCTTCAACAGCACAAAGTCTGCTTCGACTATCAGGGAACCCCGGAAATAGTGGGTCACAAGAGTGTGACAAACATACAAAAGAAGTAGAGGAAAAAATTACGATAGTTAGGATTAGGAAAGAAAAAGCAGCACTTCCCTGTTGCAGTTCAGGCACAGTTATGAGCATGACATTGATGAATCAGCCCATTTACAATTTCACTGTGCATAAGATGTTAATGTCCCCCCTTTGGTAATGAGCAGTGGCGGCTCGTGGTTTATAAAACTGACTGGCGGTCATTCACGTCGACTATTTTTCCCTCCCCCACCCCATTCCTTCACAACACGCACACACACAAACACACACACACACACACACACACACACACACACACACACACACACACAC